CTCCCGGGTTCCCGCCATTCTCCTGCCTCAGCCTCCCAAGTAGCTGGGACTACAGGCGCCCGCCACCTCGCCCGGCTAGTTTTTTGTACTTTTTTTTAGTAGAAACGGGATTTCACCGTGTTAGCCAGGATGGTCTCGATCTCCTGACCTCGTGATCCGCCCATCTCGGCCTCCCAAAGTGCTGGGATTACAGGCTATTATTATTATTATTATCATTCCCATTCTGTAGGTGAAGAAACCAAGATTTCTTTCAGGACTTACTGCCAGGGAAGATTTGAGGCCTGAGAATACCTTTCTTTCTATGTATAAGAGCTTCTCAGCTGGCTGTTTCACTTTTCACGTGGCTGCTAGGAAACTCAGAGCCAATGCTAACATTCCATCAAATTAGCCTTTTGTTTTTGTTTCTTTCTTTTTCTTTTTTTTTTTTTTTGAGACAAGGTCTCACTCTGTCACTCAGACTGCAGTGCAGCGGCACAATCTCAGCTCACTGCAATCTCCACCTCCCAGGCTCAAGCGATTCTCTTCCCTCAGCCTCCCAAGTAGCTGGGATTACAGGTGCCTGCCACCATGCCTGGCTAACTTTTTTTGTGTGTATTTTTAATAGAGATGGGTTTTCACCATGTTGGCCCAGCTGGTCTCGAACTCCTGACCTCAAATGAGCCACCTGCCTCGGCCTCCCAAAATGCTGGGACTACTACGGGTGTGAGCCTCCACAACTCACTCAAATTAGCCTTTTAATTAACCCTAAGGATTAGAATATTTGTTTCCTCTTTTTCCTCCATCCTGATTTCATCCCCAGCCTTCTAGTACTCTTTTTTTTTTTTTTTTTTGAGATTGAGACAGCGTTTCACTCTGTCATCCAGGCTGCAGTGCAGTGGCACGATCTCAGCTCACTGCAACCTTCACCTCCCAGGTTCAAGTGATTCTCCCACCTCAGCCTCCTGAGTAGATGGACTACAGGTGTGCACCAACACACCCAGCTAATTTTTGTATTTATTGGTAGAGATGGGGTTTCATCATGTTGGCCAGGCTGGTCTCAAACTCCTGACCTCAAGTGATCCACCCGCCTCGGCCTCCCAAAGTGCTGGGATTACAGGCATGAGCCACCACGCCCAGCCTACTCATCTTTTATTGAAAGGAAGGCAACACACAGAAACACACACACACTCCTACCTCCCACACAGCACTGAAACTTTTCTTCCTGCTCACCCACACCTATCGTTTCAGCAAGAGCTAGAGCCTCAGGCACCCAACTTCCGTGGTCCCAGCAGCCCTTGGACAGCCCAGCCAAGGGCAGTGCTCACCAGTCCTTGTAGAATCGGCGCCGGCACTCGTCACTGAGGTGTTCTGCAAAGATGGTCTTGAAGCTCCGGAGACCTCGAGGGGTGGCCACATAGCCCACCACGCCCACCACCACCAGGGGCGGCGTTTCTACAATTGTCACCGCCTCCACCTCCTCCCGTTTGGAAATTTCTGGGTGAGACGCAGGGATAGGGCATGAAAGGGGACCTCTTGAAGCCTGTGGGGGAGGGAGTGGAGAGCCGGCCATACAGGGGCAGGCCAGGAGAGTGTGGGACCAGCCAGGACAGCGTCCCCCAGAGGGTGGGGCTGAGCCCAAATGAGCATTTGTTATTTTAATAATTACAATGGATTTCTTTTTCTTTTTTTGAGACAGGGTCTCACTCTGTCGCCCAGGCTGGAGTGCAGTGGTGCAATCATAGCTCACTGCAGCCTTGACTTCCCAAGCTCAAGTGATCCTCCCACCTCAGCCTCCCAAGTAGCTGGGACTACAGGCACTTGCCACCATGCCCAGCTAATTTTTGTATTTTTTGTAGAGACAGGGTTTCATGATGCTGCCCAGGTTGGTCTGCAACTCCTGGCCTCAAATGAGCCTCCTGCCTCAGTTTCCCACAGTGCTGGGATTACAGGCATAAGCCACCATGCCCGGCCTACATTATTTCTTACAACTACTTATGAATCTACAATTAAAACAACAAAAACCA